TCGAAGTTGGTCAAATCAACAATTGGGGTTCCGACGGTGCCGGAGCACATCGACTGGCAATCTTAGGGCTCGCTGATGCGAAGTTGTTTCTTGCGCCCTTTCTACGACGCGTGGAAAAGGTGATCGGCGACTTGCTGGGTTCCTCGGAGGAGGTCGGATTGGCCCCGCAGCCCAGATAGGCAATAGTATTCCACGACAGGTTTGCTAGCGCGCGCAAAGACCAGAACGCAGCGCGCGTGGGAGTCGACGCCGTGGAGATCGAGATCTTACCGGTGCCCTGGCATACGCAATACTTTTCGGTCGATGTGTAAGCTTTTCTGTTTCCGAGACTCGAGATTGGAAACGTGTTTGCCGCGTCCCGGACGCAGACAGGGGCTTGTTGGGCGCAGACATTCCCTGGAAGACCACGTGCGTTTGTTTCGTGTTGTTATTGTGCCTGCGTTGTGCCGTCGCGATGCGTGGGCCGTGGCGGCGGGGCCTGGGAATGGGGTTCGCCGCGCCCGAGGGCGCATGTTAATGATGATCATGCAGGCGCCGCGTCGCAAAGCAGCGCGTCAAACTGCTGGCTTGGAGAGCGGAATTGCAGAGACAACGCTGGCAGCGGCGACGGCGCGGGCAGCGACGGTGGGAAACGGGAACAACTGCCCGAGGCAGATCAACTTCAGGAAGGTTTGGGACCGAGGGTAAACTGGATCAAACGCAGCGCGGGAGATGTGGTCGAGCGCGCGAATCACTGCACATTGATGCATGGACACGTAGCGACGTCGCAGAAAATGGCGATGGTTCGCAACGTTTACATGCTAGGCACCTGGGGAGCGGATTCGTTCGGCTGAATTTTGGGTTCCGAGTCAACGCGTTGAGCTCTGCGCGAAAAGACGCCCTCGCCGACCGAAGTGCCACTGGATTGACGACGTGTTTATGTCGTCTCAAAGCGTGGAGAAACGCTGCCCGAGGAAGAACATGCAGGTTTTGTAGAGGGTTCTGACGCGCGAGATGTGGAGCAACTGCCCCCGAGGTGAGCCGCGCAAAAATTCATGGGGCGACCCAGAGCAAGATTCCTGTCGGGCATTCTAAGCAGTAGTGGGCGCTTCCGCCCCGATCCGCGGCGCCTGGAGGATGCGCAGTGCGGGTCGCAGTCGCAGTCCCAGTCCCGCGCCTGCGGGTCGCGCCCAGGGGCATCCGGGGGCGTCTGGGGACCTCGGGGGATCGGGGGGCCCTCGGGGGCCTCTGCTTGCTCCGGGGGGCGGGCCTCCAGGCGGGCGAGGGGCAGGGGGGGGCCAGCAATCTTATCGAGGATTGCATCGGGGGCATCAACAACACAGAGGCGCTCTTCGACTGAGGGGCAGGTCCTGCCACCTCCACGACGCCCTGAGCGCCATCCTGGAAGAACCAGATTGTCGCCGCGCCGATCCTTTAGGTCAATTACCAGACGGTCCTAGTGCGCTTCATCATCCACCAGCTGCGCGGCATCTCGGCATGCCCAGCAGCTGATGACCGCGCTGGCACACCTGCGTAAACCAAGCGCGACGTGCGTGCGAATGCATATGCAACTGCATTAAACTTGATTTGCGCTACAACCCGAGATGCGCCCAATGCCGCTTGCCATTTCTACCTTCCAGAGGGGCATCGCCACTTGCGTGATAGATTGGATGCACTTGCTGTTGCAGCGCGGCGACAGCGGCCCATGTCCTCTAGGGGCACCGACCGACCAAGAATCGCACCACCATGGTCCACCGCCGGCCCCCGCGCCAGGCGCCAGCCACCAGGGCCCAGCGTGTAGTTCGAAGGATTACGATGCTCACAGGCCGACGCAGAACGAAGACAAGAGCCACCAGCAGGGGCCCGCGTCGCAACCAGCTACATGCAGCGAGTGGTACAGACACTTTGCTGACCCCCGACCTCTCTGCGCGAGGGCCTGCCCTCGCGGTCGACAGCAGGCTCTCCCACCAGCGCGCGCGGAAGTTCCTGCTGGCTCAGTGCACGCGCCCGACACCCCACTGGAAGGCATACCTGTCTTGGCCTCTTGCGAGGCAGTCGTGGAGCTCTCTTGGGCCGTCTTGGGGCTCTCTTGCGCCGTCCGGCGGCTCCGTTGGGCCGCGTTGGGGCCCTCTTGACCGTGTGGTAAGTGTCTGGGGGTCGTCGTGGGGCCGTCGATGGGCCTTCTACGGCCCTCTTGGGCCCCGCGGCCATCTTGGGGCCGCCTTGGATGCCTCTTTGGCCATCGTGGGGTCCTGTCGGGCCATATTTGGGACCTCTTGCGCTGTCTTGGGGCAATCTTGGAGGCTTCTTGGACCGTCTTGAGCTGGCGGCAGATCGACAAGGCGACGATGTGAAAATCATTCAAAAGCCCCGGACACATCAATGGGTTCGGTTCCCTTCGGACCCCGTTTGGGGTCCTCTTTTGGCCCTTCTGGGGGCTTTTGGACGCCGTGGAGGTACGAGAATGTGCGACGTGCACGGACCTCGAGCGGGTGCGCGTGGGATGAGAAGTCTAAGAATTCGCAGCAATACAGGAAGTGCACCATCTTCGAGCGGGCGCGCATGGAATGAGGGCTTAGGCTTTGGCTACCGTGCGGCAAGTGCACCATCCTCGAGCGGGTACGCGTGGAACAGGGGCTTAGGAAACTGCTGCCATGCTGGCAGTGCACCATCTTCGAGCGGGCAGGAGGGAAGTGGCCTCGGGATGGGGGCTGGATGCGTGCGGCTGTCCGCGGCCCGGAGAGGGGGGATCCCTCATTGAAGTTCAAGAAACCCTACCGGGCAACCCTTGGAATTTTCCGCGCCTCAGCGTGCCAAGGGGGCACAGTGGCGGGTGTCAGGTTTTCGCCACGTTCCCGCCCGTGCCGCCTCGTGGGCGCCCCGCGCTAAGGGTTTGTCGGGTTTTCGCCACGTTGCCGCCCGTGCTGCCTCGTTGGCGCCTCGCGTGCATTCCGTGCATTTTTTCCCCTCCAACGTTCCGCCACGTTGCCGCCCGTGTCGCCTCGTTAGCGCCCCGCGCTTTGTGTGTGTGTGTGTGTGTGTGTGTGTGTGTGTGTGTGTGTGTATGCGTGTGTGCGTGCGTGCGTGTGTGTGTGTGTGCCGTTTTCGCCAATTTGCCACCCGTGCTGCCTTGTGGGCGCCTGCTGGGCGGCCCTTGCGATGGGTGGGTTCCCGAGGTTGCGTCACGTTGCAGCCCGTGCCGCCTCATAGGCGCCTCGTTGGCGCCCCGTGCGCGGTGTGGGTTTTCCAAGGTTGCGCCACCTTGCCGCCCGTTCCGCCTCGTCGACGCCTCGTGGGCGCCCCGTGCACTGATCTAACACGGCACAGCTTGCATCACAGAGCTTGCACCATATAGCTTGCACCACAGAGTTTGCACAGTATAGATTACACAGCATAGCTTACACCATACAGTTTACACCCCATAACTTCCGTCTCCAGTTCAGACCGCCTAGCTTACACGGCATAGTCTATTAAACAAAACTTGCGATTCAGTTCCATGGCTCCTGACACATAGCTAACGCCACACACCATGTACCAAACAGTACCACATCGTTTACGCTGCACACATCGCACCTCCACAGTTCAATAATGCACTGTTTGGGACCCACGTTGGCTAACATGCTGCTTGTTGGTGTCGCGCTGAATTGCACGTTGTGGGGCCTCTTGCACCATATACGAGGCGGAGACGGAGGGGGAGGAGGCATCCTTCGAGGAACACCTGGCAGAAACACGTCACGACAGCGTGCGCTGTTTCCGTGCCGATGTGCCCTTCCCTGCGTGTGGAGGCCGCGCTTGCGAACGTGCTGTTCTTGTTTCTCTATTGCCCGCAGTCCCTGTTTTATTCCTCCCCTTGCTCCTGTCTCCGTTCGCCGCCTGACTGGCGGGCCCACATGACGGATACCCATCAGTCGCTGAAAGTAGTTCAATGTTGATTCCCATAGTTCAGTATTCTTTTTGCGCCTTTCTATTTCGAGGGCCGAACGGCTTGCCTATTCTCTCCTCTTCAGGCGGTCGATTCCCAACTTCCGATCTTCTTTTGGCGACTCTCTACTCCAAGGCCCGAACGGCTTGCCTATTCTCTCCTCTTCAGGGGCGGGCGGAATCCCAGTCTATTCTCGGTCCCTTCCCACTTCATGTTTCTGCCCACTTCTGCCGACGATGGACGCCCTCATGCCCCTCTCCTGGCTCACTCCTCCCGTCGGCGGCGCGCCCCGGGGGAGAGCGAGAGGGAGCGGGCCTTCTCAGGAGGTGACGGGGCTCTTCAGAAGCCCCCCGGGCCTTCCGAGAAGCCGTCCGTGCGCCTTCGGGGAAGGCTCAGGGACCCGAGGCCTTCCGAGCCCTCTGAGGAGGAGAAGGAGGAGGAGGAGGAGGAGGAGGAGGAGGAGCAGGAGGAGGAGGAGGTGGAGGAGAAGAAGGAGGAGGAGGAGGAGGAGGAGGTGGAGGAGAAGAAGGAGGAGGAGAAGGAGCAGGAGGAGGAGGAGCAGGAAGAGGAGGAGGAGGAGGAAGAGGAGGAGGAGCAGGAGGAGGAGGAGGAGGAGGAGGCCTCCGCATCTGCGGCCACGGCCTCTGCGCCTGCGGCCCGCGTCTCCTTGCGCACCACCCCTCCCGTTTTCCCATGCCCCCGGGCAGCGATACCCATCGGTCGTTTAAAGAAGGATGTATTTTTCGATTCCCAGATTCCAATCTACTTTCAGCGCCTTCCTACTTCAATGATCGAGTGGCTTCACCTTTTCCGTCCTCCTTACAAGGGGGCGCAAGGGACCCAGTCTGCTTTCAACGCCTTCCTACTTCATCTTTCTACCTACTTCTTCCGGCCGATGGGGAAGGGGGGGAGTGAGCTCAGGGGGGGATTCGGCCGACCTCCCATCGCCCATGGATCGCCGACAAGGGGCCTGATGGCCCCAGCCCGCCCAGGAACGCGAGGATCCGCTGTCGGGGGCCTGGCGCCGATCTCTCGGCGATGCGTCGCCGATTCCAGGCCGGTGCCAGCTCCCCCCCCTGCCCTTGCCCCTCGCCCGCAGGACGCCGTGCCAGTGCCGTTCTGCCTCAGGGGCCAGGCGCGGCTGGGCGGAGGTCGCCTCGGAGCCAGCGGGTCCTGGGGGAGGTAGGTCCTCGGGTGTCTCGCCGTGTTCGGGGCCTCCACGGGCCCTCCATGGGCCCCGGGATTGTGTGAGAACGGCTTTGATGGGCTTGTTTTCCACCACCACCACCATAAGTTGGAGGTGGAGGGGGTCCTCCTCCTCCCCTCCTCCTCCTCCTCCTCCTCCTCCTCCTCCTCCTCCTCCTCCTCCTCCTCCTCCTCGTCCTCCTCCTCCTCCTCCCCCCTCCAGCTTATGGTGGTGGTGGTGGAGAGCAGGGCCATCAGGCTCGACTTCTGCCCTGGGGTCCAGGACCCAGCTCTTGGAGACCTGCCCGCTTCATGCCAAGGAGGGCTGGGGCCCGGGATACCAGGGCTGGAGCTAAACGGTGTTTTTTGTGATTTCGTGGGCCGTTTTCGTTTCGATTTCGTTTTGCGGTCAAGGCGGATTCGAGACAAAAGCGAGGAACAACGAAAACACAACGAAAACGAAAAACACCGTTTAGGTTCAGCCCTGCGGGATACTATGGGACGGAGAGTGGTCCGAGTCCCAGCGATTTCGGGGGGAACCCAACCAGCCGGTGCCAACCCCAACCGGCTGGTGCAACCAACCGGGTGTTTTGTTTTCTCGCGTGTCTCCCCCTCTCGCCCTTCCTCTCATCGTCCTCTTCCCGGCAAGCTTTCATGCCTATTTGTATGTCTTCTCGTGCACCCCATGCTCGCCACGCCTCGTCCCGCTCCTACCCCTCCATGCCTCCCGCCTCTCTCCTCCTTTCTCCCTCCTTCCTTTTTCCCCCCCCCCTCCCATCCTACTCTCGCTCCTGCTCCTCACACCTTACTCCCCCCCTCCTCCATTACCCGCTCCTCGGGCTCACTGTTTCCCCCGTCATCCTCCTTGTTTTCTCCCCCCTCCTCCTCCATCCTTCTCTTTCTCCTCCTCCTCCTCCTTCCCTCCCCTCCCTGCCTCCTTCTTTTTTCTCCTCCTATGTTTTTCCTCTTCCCCCTCCTCCGCCCTCCCCTTCCTCCTCCATCCCTGGCCCGTATGGATAACTCCCCTTTGTCGCACTCCCAGACGCATCGGTAGGCCTGGCTGGGCAATCCGCTTGGTACGCCCGCACAGCTTATGATCCTGAAACTTGACACTTGCAACATTTACTGATAGAAGCGGGGGTCAACAATGGGCTCTCGTTCTAGCGCCGCGCACACTTCTCACAAGCTTGGGCCGTTTTCAAAGTTGGTCTCTCGCCTCAGCGCCGCTTGCATGTGTTGTAGAAGCTGGCAACGTTTACACGCATGGAGCAATAGGATCCAATTTGGGTTCCCGCCGTGACGCCGCACACAGTTGTCTTCGCAGGTTGCGCCGTAGACACGAAGCAATCGTACACACATGTGTATGTTTATGTTGATGTAAATGTTTACATACGTATGTATGTATGCATGCATGCATGCATGCATGCATGCATGCATGTATGTATGTATGTATGTATGTATGTGTGTGTATGTATGTATGTATGTATGTATGTATGTATGTATGTATGTATGTATGTATGTATGTATGTATGTATGTATGTATGTATGTATGTGTGTGTGGCTGCCGCAAATTGCGAATACAAATCCGTATCGCCCCATTCTGTGCTCCAGGCCTTCGCGTGCAGCTCCCTGACGATTGTTGAGGGGATCGGCTCCGATTGACAACCTGCGTTGCCGTCGGTCCGATCTCATATTCTGAACAAGTCTGCGTCGTAAGCAATGATGGAGAGCGGTTCCCGTTCAACGCAGGACTCTCGCCTTGGTGCCGCGCACATTCGTCTCAGAAGCTTGAAGCAGCTGTAAGGATTGATTGTGGCTCCTTTTCCAACCGGAGTTTTCGCCTCAGCGCCGCGTATCGCCGTCGTCTGAGACATTTCCAGCTGCTACGGGGATGGAGGACAGCTCAGCTCATTTTCGAACAGCGTCTCTCGCTTGAGATTTCTTTTTGCATTTGTGGACCACGCGTTAGAACATCTGTAACAGCTTTGCGGATGGAGGGTGGGGCCTTTTCTAATTTGATTTCATGCTGAAGGTTCCCTCCACGTTCGTGACCAGAAGTGCAAACTTGTGAAACAGTTACGCAGATGGGGCCGGTTCTTCTTCAAGAGGGATCTCGCTGGGCACCTCGTTGGCACGTATGGTCACACATCATACATGTTCGCGCACCTTTCTAGTGGCATCTATGATGCCAGTTCCGCTTCAAAGCGGGCTCGTCGCTGGAAGGGCAGGCCCGCAATGCGCTGGTCTTTCACGGGGGTGAAGAGGAAGGCTTGCAGAGACTTGCGAGGAGGGGGCTCGAGACGGGAGGATTTATTGCAGCATCCTCGATGCACCAATTCGCTCTGCTCTTCCTCCTCTCCCTCCCCGCTCGCTCCAGCGCGCGCGGGCGGCTGGGGGCGACGACGACGACCCTGGTAGTAAATCATGAGGGCCTTGCATACCCCCTGAAATTCAGTCTCTTGCGTGCGCTCGCGTCGGGCAGCGTCTGGTGGTCGGCGAGGCAGCGCCGACTTGGCGACGGCCAGCGCCGATGAGCGTCAACTGGCGTCGGTTTGAGCATCGACAGCCGCCGATTCGTAAGAGGCAACAAGAGGGTAAAAAAACACACAGTGTGTTTCTTGTGAAAAACACAGTGCTTTCCCCACTGTGGGAACAAAAACACAGTGTGTGTGTGTTTTCACACACAGTGTGTGTTTTTTTCACCGTGTGTTTGTTTAACACGCTGTGTGTTTTTCCCACTGTGTGTGTGTGTGTGTGTTTTGTGTTGTGTGTTTTGTGTTTTTTTCCCCACAGTGTTTTTTTTTTTTTTTTTTTTTTGCGCGCGCGCGCGCGTGTGTGTGTGTGTTTTTGTGTGGTGTTTTTTTTGTGTGTGTTTTTCCCACAGAGGGGGTTCCCGTGAGCTGCCGCCGGAGACGACGAATTCGCCGCGCCCGTCGTGGCCCGCCTGGCAGGCGCAGGCTCGGGTCGGGCGGGGCGCCCACTGCGACCTCCAGGTCGACAGCAGGCCCCGGGGAGCCCTGCCGACCGCCGGTCGGCGACCGCGAAGGGTATGCAGGGGGCCCCATGCGGACCCTACCCCCCCAAAGATCCAACGTATTGAAAAAATCAAGACGGAGATTTTTCGCACATTTCGGCCTCTGGGGGCCCTCGCCGGGCCTCGGGACCGTCAAAAAACGACTCAAGATGAAAAACCGGTCCTGGGGAATGGGTCGAGACTTCCGGGGACCCCGTATTGAAAAAATCATGGCCACGATTTCTGAGGGGGAGGGTGGGGTTCACTTCGCTCGGGAGCTCCCGAACGAAGTGAACCCCACCCTCCCACTCAGAAGTCGTGGGGGGTAGGGGTAGGGTGCGCATGTGGCCCCCTAGTATGGTTACGCCAGGGTGTGGTTTGCGATCGGCACCGTCGGGGCCTGTGGGGCACGACACTGTCCTCGTCGGGCCTCCTCGGGGCGCGGGAGAGCTCTATCGAGGTCCCCGCGCGCACCCCAGGGTGCCCCCCAGGATGTTCCCCAGGGTGCCGGTTGCAAGCCACACTCTTTGCAAACCACACCCTTTGGAGTCGCCGAGCAGGGGACGAGGATGAGTATGTCGTCGTCGTCGTCGCCGTCTTGGCCGTCGTTGTCACCGTGCTCGGTCCTCCCCATCTAACACCCTCCTTTCCTCCCGCCCTTCTCCTCCCGCGTCGTCGTCGTCCTCCTCCTCCAGCCTCCTCCCCATCGCTCTTCCCTCCTGCTTGTCCTCCTCTTTCCGCTCTCGCGCGCGCGCAGGAGCGCGCTCGCGGGGAGGAAGGGGGATGATGATGGTGGTGGTGAAGAAGAGGAGGAGAGGGGGGGGAGGAGGAGGAGAACGACGAGGAGGAGGAGGAGGACGACGAGGAGGAGGAGGAGGATGACAAGGAGGAGTATCTGGAACAAGATAGCGTTTCTCCCTACGCGTGACGGCGGCTTGCGCCCGATCGCGCTGATCAATATCATTGCACGTTTGCAGGGGAAGCTTTGCAAGCTTCTCGCACCCCCGTGGCAGGCCGCGCATTTTCGCCTCCCTTTTGGTGGTCCACGGCTGGACGCGGCAGTGACAGATCGGTTCGGATCCAGTCGGCGGCCGCCGAGTGGGCTCGTAGTCGTGGCCTCGCCAGTGGTCTCATACTTCTGGATTTGCAGAAGGCCTTCGAGCGCATCGAGCACTCCGAGCTGGTACGATCTGCGCAGTGTGCAGTGCTTCCGCTTCGGCAGCTTAGGTTGATGGTCGAGTTGCATCGGTCTCCTAGGGTCCTGTTCCTGCAGAACGCGGCGTCAGAGTTCATCGAGACTTTCGAGGCCGTCCTGCCAGGCTGCCATTTCGCCACACTCATGCCGCAGCTGATTCTTTATTAGCCCCTCGACACGGTGCGAGTGGCCTTTGCTCATGTGCATGCTGGCATGGTCGTAGACGATTTTGGGCTTCAGCGTCTTGGACGCGAGGCCGACGTGGCACGTGAGCTCACCGCAGCCACACAGCTTCTGCATCAAGAGTTAGCCGAGGTGAAATTGCCTATCCTTGCCAATGAGTCTCGCATTGTTGCTTCCTCTGCCTCCCTGCGCTCCCCTCTCAAGGCCAACTTGCACACGTTGGAGGTTCGAGCAGTCAAGGTTGAGCGCAACATCGGTACTGATTTTGGAGCTGCCAAGATGCGGCCGCATGCCAATCGTGTCACCAGGAAGGCGCCTGCTAGGAAGCGTACGAGGAACATTATATCGCTTCGTGGCCTCGTCAAGCGTCGCTGTCTTGACGCTATGATTCAGATTGCGGTCCTCTCGTCCACTCGATATGGTGGGCATGTTCCTGGCACGATAGAGGCCGACATCAAGGCTGCGCGGTCAGCACAGGCGCATGTGCATACGCAGCGTTTAGCTGGAGGGCCGGTCTCGCTAATGCTGATGCTTCCGCACAAGCCCACCATCGATCCCAACTACTGTTTTATCCGAGATTACCCTCTTGCTCTTGCAGCAGCCGTCTGGGACGAGCGAATGCCGAGAAGGATGCGGAAGCAAGGCATCACTCGCGAGGCTGAGCGTCTCGAGGGTTGTGATAATCCTTGGTCCAGCGTCCGTGGCCCCCCTTTCGGGACGATCGCGAAGTGGGTACGGGCATCACGGGTACGATACCCAGCAGCAGCTCCTGCTTATTCTGAACCGGACTCGCTTGCTTCGGGTTCGGGGCTTGTGCTCTCATAGAGCCAGGTTCGGGTTTGGGGTTGTCCATGCGCCCGTTTGCCCATTTGTGCCAGGTTCGGGTTTAGGGTTCGTTCTCTCATAGTTGTTGCAGCTGTGCAGTTCTGCCAGTGAGCTGAGTTTCCCGGTCTCGGGTAAGATTTTTTTTCTCCGTCGTTGAGTGCTCGGTGTTAGATGATACGATGCTGGGGTATTTTGTATCAGTCCTTCTCTTCCCTCGCCTCCTCTCTCCGCTTCTTTGCGCCCCCCGCGGCGGGTATCGAGCCACGTTTTGTTGGGAGGGCGTTCTCCTAAGCAGTGGCGGAAAATCGCCTGTGCATCGTATCAATGACATTTGTTTGAGCCCTTGCAGACCACAGAGGGGGGCACGTTTTTTCCGCGGGTGGCGTTGCAGGCGGCTGACGGCGAGTGGTTAGTGGTTTCTGGTTGGTGCTTCTGCTTCTCGCGTTCCCTAAACACAATTCAACAGGACTCGCTGTTCGCGCCGCCGTGGACGTTGTTCGTGGGAGACAAAAAGCCGCCTGCCCAACAGCGGCCGCTGTCGCTTTTGGACAACATTTGTTGTTGGGCAATGTATTCATATTTTCCGTACCCATTTCGGGCCTCCAACCTTTTCGGTCTGCGCGGCAACCGCCGAGAGGATTGGCCTCGCAGTCCACGGCTCCTCGGGGCGGGCTCCTGGTAGATCGGAGTTCTCGACCTGTTGCCTCCGCGGGGCCGCGGATTGTCCGGGCCTGGCGGACTGGAGTCCTCGAATCGGGTTCATGGGCCAAGAGATTGCTGAGTGCTGGGTGTGCCAGAACTGGCCACTGGGTGTCTTATCGAGACCATCAGGCAGGCACGTCGCTCGTGTCATGCGAAAAGGGTGCGGTGGGGGCGTTCGCTAAGGAACGTTCCCAGGAGGCTTCAGACCCTGGAGGGTTCCTTCTCTGATGAGGGTGGCGGTGATATTAATGGCCAATCCACGATTGGATTTCCATTGGCTTCCAGACCCTGGATTCCTTATCGAAGGTTTCCATATTCAATGCCTTCACCGTTCCGTAGCCATTTTGGCTCAAGGCAATGAACCGTCCCGACGACCGCGAGTCTTTCGGGGCGACTAAGCGCGAGGGAGGTTCTGCTTTGAGGCTACCTTCCTTTCCAACAAGTGTGAGCTGCCACTGCAGCACCCTGGACCTGCGGGTCACGGCTTTTTCTGTGTCGGCGGGTCCGCCCCCGTCGGCACCTGCCTGCTGCACGCCCGCGGCTGAGCAGCGCGCCCGCCCGTTCCGGCGATGGGGCCGAAGGCCGAGCCTGGCTTCGTCGTGTGCACGGGCTGCCGTTTCCGCTGGAACTTCCGCAGGAATGCGAAGTGCTGGCTGTGCGGGATCGGGCTGGAGCTGGCGCCCTCGAAGCCTTCGCCCCGCGTCGGGGTCTGGGCGGACGACGGCGGCGGCGGCTCCCAACCCGCACTGCGAGGAGGCGGCAGCGGAGGCCCACCGAAGAATGGCGCCAAGGGCGGCAAGGGCGGCAAGGGCCGTGGAGGAGCCTCCCGTGGCGGCGGTGGTGGTGCAGCCTCCCGTGGCGGCGGCGGGGGCGCGGGTGGCCGTGGCGGAGGCGCCTTCCCGAAGGCCCCCTGGTCGGCCCCCCCCGAGAGCGAGCTCGAAACGCTCCTCGCCTGCGGCGACCCCGCCATCGCGGCCAGGCTGCAGGAGGCAGTCCGTGACGCGCGGGGCTGCGTCGCGCCCGCGGTCGCCCCAGCTCCGAAGCCGCTCGAGCAGAGGCTGCAGTCGGCCACGGCAAAGCGGATCCACCTCCAGCGCCAGCTCGACGAGGCGGCGGACGCGCTCGTGGCGGCGGAGGACCACCTCGCTCGGTGCCGAGGCTGGCGCGACGAGGCGGCGGTCAACCTCGCAGAGGCCAAAGAGGAGGAGAACGCCCTCCTCCGCCAGCGAGCCCAAGCGGCTGGCGTCGTGGGCGCCCAGCCCGATGGAGCGAGGCAGCTCACCTTCAACTTCGACGCGGAGTCATTCGAGAACTTCGCGGAGCTGGAGGAGGAGGCGCAGGCCACCCTCAGGCGCCTCTGTGACGAGGGGCTCCAGATCATGCAGGGGGCGCAGGCTACGTTCGAGCGCAACTGCCAGGAGCACCAGCAGCGCATCAAGCGCCAGATCGAGGAGGAGGTGGCCAAGAAGCGCAAGCGCACCGAGGAGGGGCCTGCAGCAGCCGTGGCCGCTGGCACCCCCGTGCGGGGCGCGGCCGCCCCGCCGCAGCCAGCAGGACAGGCGGCCGCCCCTGCTGCTGCCGCCGCCCCAGCAGCAGGCGCTGCGCCTGGTGCAGGGCCCCCCCAGCGGCCGCCGTGGAGAGCCGAGCGGCAGACGAGGCGGCCCGACAGCGCGCTGCCGACCAAAAGGCTGCTGCGGCGGCCCCTCCACCTGCTGCTGGCGCTGCTGCTGGCAGCGGCCAGGCCCGCGGGTAGCACCCTGCTGCCAGGCGGCGGCCCCGTAAGCGCGGCGCCGCCCGTCCCAGACGGCGCTGAGGAGGCAGAGGCGGCGGCGCCCAGCCGCCCCGCGGCGAAGGCGGCGCCGAGCGGCGGCATGCACGCCTACCTGGCGGCCAATGTCGAGGCCGACGCTGGGGAAGGGCTTCCCTTCACTGGGCCGCTGCTGCGCCAGGGCCGACGCTCCGACGATGCGCGCCATGGTTCCAAGTTCAAGGCGCTCAGTAGCAGGACTGAGCCAAGCGCTGCGGCGGACTTGGACGGGCCCGACCGAAGGACTGGCAGTCCTCAGCCCAGCCAGGGGCCCATGCG